AAGCACTCTGTACAGGGTGACTGCTGCAGCATGGAGAGATTGCCAGCAACATCCACTCACAGGTAGAATTTTGGGAGGGACACAAAGAAATGCCAGAACCTTTACAGCTTTTCCAAAGCAGGCATCTTATGTATTTGTTTTAATTTCATAATCTTTGCTTCATTAAAAAAAAAAACGAAAAACCTCAGAAGAAATCCTAATTTTCACTGAGCTTGAATCCTAAGCATTTGGAACCATGAAAAGGTTAGTGTTAAAAGTAAATAAAGAGGGTGGGGTTAAAACAAGGTTTATTGAACAACCCCCTAAGCTCCAAGCCTGTTTATTAACTAAAAATATTTAACGCTTACCTCATGGTGGTGCCCAGACATTCTAATTAGCTCTGCACTGCTTTGTGGTACAAATATGAGGGTTAAGCCTTTTCCCAATTCACATCAGCTGGAGTTTGACTGTGGACTTTGATCAGGGTTTCATGCATACATACAGACACTGTCTTAGTCAAAGAACTTGCTGCTTTTGCATGAGGTATAGTTTCCCCCAACATAGTGGAAACTTTCTCTTTGGAATTATAACATAGATGAAGTCTAACCTTGATTACTGAGTGGCTCCTACCTCTCTGTAATAAACTATATTAGACACCATCCTGACACTTAACAGAGGATGGGCCCAGCTCTGAGGAGCTCCCCATCTAAGGATAAGGAAATAGAGAGAGTTAAAGGAAAAGTTTGCACGTGTCTATCACCATAACATAAAAAGACAAAGATATAGCTGTCTGAAAGCAGCCTGGTGAATTGGTAACAGTAACAAAGGTGAGAATAAGACCACTTTTTTTATCCATCTAGGCCTCTAAACAAAGCACTTCCTTATTTTTTTTCACGGTAACAGCTGGATGTCAAGTGTTCCACTGATGGAATGTCAGATTCTTCCATCCTCACTCAGTAATCAAGAGAGTATTCCTGAAGAACTGAGGAAGTTTATTTTTACAACTCTGCAGAGTGCCTACAAACCCTTTAGGCATACAGCATCTGGCTCAGATACTGTTCTTTGAATGACTCCTCTGTTGCTACAGTAATTAAAGATATCCCAGGTGAACTCCCAATCCCTTATCAGGTTCATTAATTTAAGTGGAGTAATTTAGCTCTACATTTTCTATACCTTACATTTCTAACCTTTATAGTGACATAGGCAAGCAGCAGATTGCAGAGGTGCTTATTAGCATCCTATTAAAATATTTTATGGACGTTATTTATATAGTGCCACAGGGAACTGAATATTTTGCCACTGCTGAATTGGTTGCAAGAATTTCTTCATGGCGTAATGGAGAAAGGTAATGGGAAATGAAGTGGGAAAACAAATTCCCAATCAGGTCCCCTACTGCTGTGAAACTATGGTCCACCGATGCCCCTTAAGGACAGGTAGTCATTTTATTACTGCATGCATGGAAGGTACATCAAAAGCTACATATGCACCTAGGGTCCTGCATTCTGGGCAATAACTGTGGGCACACCCAGACTGGACATATGCACTTGTGTGGCAGAGACAGCCCATCTGTTCCCAGATAGCTCAGTCTCTTTGACTTCCCAGAACACCACTCTAACCATCACACCATTATCCAGTCCCCTGTCTGGTGTTCCTTCTGAAGCCGGTCCCCTGGACAACCATGAGAAGAAAGTATATGGTAGATACATGGGGTGAGGAGAAAATAGGCAAAGGCATAGCAAGTCAGAGGGTGTTATCTGGCTTAGTGAGGCAGCTGCTCACCTGAAAGGGAGGGGGCCTTAGGTTCTAGCCTGGGTCCTTGCCCCAGTGAGGTAGTAGGCTCTCTACAATTTTGGTAGCATCCTCTACAAACTAGAGGATGCCCTCTATCCCTACATAGTCACATATAGTTGTTCATGTGCATAGAGCTACCTGCATGGGGACAGAATGCCAACTTGTGCATAATGATTTTCTCTGGGACTTATACAACCAAAAATGCTATATAGGTGATCAAATCTGGATGCCTAGACAACCAGAAAGGAGCAGAATGCCACCCTTCCTAAATTAGACAGGCCATTGCATTTCCTGCTGGGATTGTTGTGTCAAGCCCATTTTTTGTTACGGAGCAAAAATATCTCTCTTAGAAAAAAAACCCAGAGGTTGATTTAAAGATAACAAGGGATGGTGTATGAGGTAATCCAATTGTACATGACCACATTATTAAACACCTACACCTATTTCTAGCCTGAATTTATCTCGTGAATTTATCAATAAAGGACCCTCTACTCAGAAATCTTTCCCTGTAGGTATTTATAAATCATGATCAAGGCCCCTCCTAATCTTCTATCTGATACACTAAATAACTTGATTTTAAGTCTTTCCCACTTTTCTGTACAAAAAAAAAAGTATTTGTAATGAAGCAACAGGCTTGGAAAGGCATCAACAAAATGTTTAAAAACATTTTCATTGCTTGCATTTTCAAGGTGGTTTAATTAAGTCAAATCAGGAACAGACACTCATCTGCCAAAGAGCCTATAAAATATTTTACAGTGACACTCTAATTGACATAACCTGTTGTATACATGACTGGCATTTTAACAAAGGTATTAGAAATTAGTAGGAGCAAAGATTACTCAGTAGGTAATTATTATCTTTGCTCTAATTATGACATTATTTATTTTTTTTTATTAATCACAGTGCAGAACTTTTTGGACAGGTTTTGTATGGGTGACCTTGAAAATATCCTTCTCAGTCAGGAACCCTCTGTGACTGATTTAGTTTTACAGTAAAATCATTAGCTCCAAGTGGTATTAAGCTTATTATCCATTTAAGGCCTGATCTAGAGTGGAATTAAATGAATAGAAGATTCCCACTAACTTGGGCTTCGGATCATGCAAGTCGCTAAAATAAACTAGTTGCTCTTAATATAGATCAGGAATTGAAATCCTGTCGGCAGCAGAATTGGAGTCGTGCATACAGCCTATACAGGTGTGTATAACCCACATTTTGCCATGCGTATACCACTATTAATACCCAGGGTAGCTGGATTAAAGCCAGCTCAAATACTAGTGCATATGATGATAGTTCAGTGTGGACACATCCTAACAGATGTGGAATGAACTAGTCCATTCCACTGGATGACTTTGGCAGTTTTATGCCTAGAAGGATCACTTTGTATAGCCCCAAAGGAAGTACCCTCTAAAATAAACCTTTATCTGATTCCAAATACTTTCCAGAGGAGCAGTTTAAGAGACATGGTAAATGCAGGGGAAAGCTTGGATCAAAGATAAAATGGCAATTATTAGTGTTTTCTAAGGAATATCTACTGTATTAAAAGAAAACAGAACACACACAGCAAAGCCAAACTCAAAGGTCAGCACTAAAAGGGGATTTCCTAGTGATCTGAGGCACCATGGTAAAAACAACTGAGGAAGACAAGCTACAAAAAAAAAGCATGAAGATGACAAGACACAAAGCCCAACTAATTATTCCCTTGTGGAAGGGAGTTAGTGCAAGAATAGAAAAGTCTGGGTGTGAGGGCTAGTTAACTGCACAGAACCACTCAGTCTGTGGCTAATACTGGACTCAGCCCCATTCCAGTGACCTCATGACACACTTATTTCTTCACATGCTCCCTCTGACCTTCCTTGTCTCACTAACCGGCTATTCTCTAACTGCTGGTATGGCTTGCAGCAGAAGACTACATCCTCCCTTCCTTTCAAAAGCCACGGATAAAAAGTTTATGTTTTCCCAAGGAACTGCGCCACCTAGTTTGGCTGCCAAATTGCATGACCTGCAAAATCTCAGTGGTTGCCCTTGGGGACCATTGGAGGGAATGGTGAAGGGCATGCTGCATAGAATCTGCTCCCTTTCTGCATTTTCCGAAAGACTCCTGTGCTTTCTTACCCTATTCTCATCCCTGTATAAACAATGGGTCTCTAGTAATGAAAAGATGTGCTTGGTGTGACATGCTTTACACATAGCCTTGATGTTACAAACCCTGCCCAGCTTGAGAGTTTTTCTATGAGGACTGACCAATTTAAATTAAAGCAACATCTGTGCAAGCAGTTACAGCAGCAACAATAATAACCTCTTGGAGAGATGTCTTGTAATTGTGCTATTCAGTCATTACATAATGAGCTTTCTTCCTCTCTTCTCCCTCCCCCACCTGTCAAAGAGGTGATGCTAGCATCCACTTCTAGTGGAAGAAGATATTGTTCTGCTTTCCTAGGTATGCAGTAAAGTGCTGACGCCAATGCTTTCCACCTCCTAAAGTTCATTACATGGTTTTATTAATTAATAGACTCAACATCCTATCACACGCTGCACTTGAAATCCCCCTAGCATTTGTGAAGCAGGCAATTAAAGCCATAGGTACTAGCACAAACAGACACTGATGGACACTAATATTCTATTAATTTAATGGTTTAGTCAATAGCTGTGTGATGTCCGGCCTCAAATGCTTACCAGGCCAAAGGGCAAAATATAAACTGAATAGAGAACACAGCGTTCTGATCTGAGTCACCCTCAATTCAGATTAACTCCACTCAAGCCAATCAGACTGCTTTAGGTATACCCTGAGGGAAGAATTTGGGTCACTGTATCTACAATGGGTAGAAACAAGTAAGCATAGAGAAATAGTAATAATCTACAGTTGTTCTGCAGAGAACTGAAATAATTGTCACATGACAATTAGGTGCAGCTGAACCTTTGTTTAAGGAATCTGGATATTATTAGACTTTTGCTTCATTTACACAAAACTGAATAGAAAACACTACCCCTGAACTTTAATATAATCTAATGGAAGGAGGGCCATTTGGAAACAGGCAGGCCCTCATCATCATTTGCTTGTTCACGCTACAATAAACCATTTCAATAGTCAAAACCTGGGTTACTCGTGATTAAGCCAATGCAATGCCCCTTGTCATTGTTGTCATAGGGGTTTATTATAACAGATACTGTTCTAAGAGTAGCCAAGGTGAAAACAACAAAAGAAAGAGAAAGAGAGAAAAAAAATCACTTACTTGATATTGTCAAGACAGCCGGATTCGGGTTTCAGTATGGCAGTATGATGAAACATTTTATAGAGAGCAATCCCAAGGAAGATTACATTAAGCTGCAAATAAAAAAAAAAAAAAGGAGGGTGGGGGTTGCGTGATATGGCAGAATCTGAAAGTAGAAAAGTAACTTCATTCTTTGTAACAGATGAGTTGCTCTGGGAAATTAGCTCTCACTACACTACAGCATTATAGAGCCTGAATCGCAGAAGATTGCCTACTACTTCATAAAGGCAAGCCAGCTCATAGAACACAGGAATGGTAATACCACCGAACCACATAAAGCAGTGGCGTCGGGGCTGTTCCAAACACAGAGCTGGTCTCAACATCAGCAGCAGCGTTCCAAATGATGTTGGGGAAAATTAAAACTGGTCACTTTTGACTGCTCTTCTGTGTCTTTGGGGTGTGTGCTAATGGAAAAAAAGAAAATCAGTCTAGGCTTGTTGTTCAGCTGGCCCTGTTAAAGTGAACAAAGCTGCCCTCAATGTGTGTCACTGTGCACTTTTCCCAATTCCTGGTAACATGGCAGATGTGTAGGAAAGTCATTATTGTTAGAGGTGCACGGCAATAATGATTAGAAAAGAACATCTTGGCCTGCTCTGTAAAGGGCAGATTGTGGCTCGATAGCTCTTTTGCTAGTGAGGCTCTCAGTTACTGCAAATGAGGTCCTGAAGACCCAGGCCAAGTGAGAGACAGGCCATGCCTACAAGGTAAACTTATGATGCCTGGCAGTGGCAGTCTCAAATACATCATGCTGCTGGGGATGCACTCCCTCCTAAGCCATGTCAGCATGGTGCCAAAGGTGGGCTAATTAGCACAGTGCTAGGCTACTTGGCCCTGTCACATGGCCGCAACTACTCTGCTTCTGGTTCAGAAAGCAGCCCACCTGAAGGAGCACATCATGATTGAAGGTGCTGCTGCCAGGTACAGTAATTTTATCATGCAGACATTTCCACTGTGGGAAGATGCCTTGTATTTCTTTATTTCTTAATAAGCAGACAAAGATGGCTCTGCAAAGACAAATGTGAAATATGCTTTCTTCAAACCACATGTGCCTCTGTCTTGCACATAATCTGGCTGCTTTTGTGTAGGACAATGCAGTCACTATAGGTTTAACTGGTGGTGCTAACTTCACCCTGCTGCAAAAGGGTGAAGGGCTCTGGAATTACATGAAAACTAGTTACAATAACTGTGCTAAAATGAGTGTGTTGGGCTTGCTGCCTGAGTAGAACTATTTTATATTTAAAACAAAGTATGAGCCATACTGTAGCGATTTCAGTATGAAACAACTCCAGCTGCTTCTGCAGCATGATTCTTTACCTTGTTGCTATGTTATCTGATATGCTGGCCAAATGTGTTAACTGTGAAGTCACATTTATTTTAACTACTACAGTGGGGAGGGAAGGGGGAGAAAGAGGGATTCTTTTCCATGCGTGACTGTTCCTCTTTTCAGATTTCCCTTTGCGCATAAGCAATGCAATGCTTCACTTTGGAATTCAAAGGGATGGGAGACTAGCACACAGTGGTATTAAAATAGAGACCAGAGCTTCTAAATGGGTGGTAACATCAAACAAAGCTTGCCAAGTGACCTTTCTGAGCAAGTGTCCATAGCACCAATTCACTCTGCAGCATGCCTTTTCCCCCTCAATACGATCTGATCAAGTATTTCTGAATGCAATGTTCTAACAAGTGTCTAATTGCTTATGTTAGGTGGGGTCAAAGAAGTGCATGCCTTTCCCAAATTAATCTATGTAAATTAAACATAAAGAGTAAAGAGACAGCGAAAGTTTTATTCCTTGACCTGAGAGACGGAATAGTTAATTTGGAGTTCTTACCATAATTATCAAGGTCGCCGGTCCTATAAAGCTCCAAATGAAGTAGGTGTCAAGTCGGAGCCAACATCTGTAATGAAACACAGGGGACAGAAGGCATTCAAGGACTGCGCCCAGAACATATATCAAGAGTGAGAGAGTGACAGAGAAGAATGTGAGCTGCAAAACATTCCACTGGGAGACAGGAAATATTACATTGCTTGTTCATTTAAATGCTGAATTATGTGCCCAATTTCTGACAGTGCTATTGATTGAGTAAGATAATTACCTCGGAAGGAAGCTGAGGAAAAAAAATGGCATGGGGCCTAGTAGCTAAGGCCTTTTGCGTCTGTCACAGAAAACCTCATAAAAAAGGGAGGGACTCTATGAGCAGCCATTAACTTCCTTAGCTTTAAGCAATTCTTTTCTCTCCAATTATGGTGCAACATAACCTGTCTGTCAACTGTCAAGCAAGGTGACATTTTCCTGTCAAGATGTTCTGAGCAAACTCAGTGCAAAATTGAAATAAATCCCGGTACCAGACGACTGAAGCTTAATCAGATTTGGCAACCTCACCTTCCAGGGTTTTTTTTTTTAAATCTTCGGAACCTGTGGACTGTATTGTTCCTACTAACGTTTTAGGGTTGCAAACGATCTCCAGTATCACATAAAGCTGATTCATGGCCTAAAACTAAATTATTAATCACTTAATTTCAGCCACATTTAATACGCCCAAAATTTTTAAGGCCCCTGGGAAATTACATTTCCATTCCTAGTTCATTTGAGGCGACAGGAAGATAAAATGGAAGTGACTAGTTCCTAGACAGATGAATATAAATCCCAAGGAAGTTACATGTGATGCTGAAAATAATAACATCTTGTCCTGTTTGCAATGTTGCCCATTAAAGTTGTGTTTACATGAGGGCAACTAATAAAGTGTAAAAATACTTTTATCTTAGAAATTAAATTGATTTCCTAATTAAATGAAGTGACTAAGCTTGTACATGTTAATTTATCCTGATGTGACAGAGTGTAGTTCAGCAGTTCTAATGCTGCTGTGCCAGGGGTCTGAGCTGAGTCTTATTCGTTTCAGTGGAAATACACATGAACCAAGGAGTCTGTTAGCAGATCCAGGGAAGGCTTTAACTTCTAGAATTTAAATTCTACCAAATTAAGAATTCTTCTTTCTATACCTGATAACTTTAGGATTCATAAAAATTAATATTTCAAACTGCAAAATTATACAGGGAAAGTATTTTTCCTTATAAAAGTATGCACAAATAGCCATAAAAATACAAACTGATTAAAAATATACCCCACAAGCATAGTGATATTTATAGGAAGACAACACAGATTTTAAAAAAGTCATTACTATGCTAAGAACACCTAAATTGTCACTGAAGGTATCCATCAGAATTTTAATCTAAAAGGTAAACCCAAAAGGCTTTCTTAATGAAGCCCCGTGTTTCTTCTAGATTAACTGAAGTTCAAACTGCTTTAGGTACAGTTGGTGACAGACAAACATGAGTGGTTTTCAACTATTTTTAAATATATTTTTATGGGCATATATGACAGTAGCACTGTGAAACCCAAAAGAGATCTGAGCTCTGTTGTGCTAGGTGCTGTACAGTGCCATAGCAATGAAATTTGGTGCCCGGGGCAAAGTCCGCAGCAACAGCCTGCCCTCACCCTGCACACAGATCCAGGATGCACGTGCCCCCCCATGCTTGCCCAGGAGTGCACACATTAGCAGGAGTTGCCCTTCCTCTGTCCCCGTGCCCCCCCAAATGAGCTGCTTACGGCTACATCCTGTACCCTACCCTGGCTGGGCAGCACCTGTTGGAACCCCTTCACTTTGGCACCTGGGATGGACACACCACTTGCCCCACCCCCCGCCATTGCTATGGCATGGGCATAGCAAAAGAGTGCCTGCCCTGAACACCTTTTAGTCTACACCAATGACACGGAAAAAGAAAATATTGTTATTCACGTTTGATAGATGGAGAAACAAGGCTATAAAAGGCAAAGTGATAGCAGGCACATGGCAGAGCTGGAGACTAAACTTGGGTCTTGCGAATCATTTCCCTTCAGAGAACAGTTTCTCTCAAAGTACATTTGAGAGTACGTGGTGTGGACAAGGAGGTCCGTTATCAAGCAGCAGTTGCTGATGATAAAGGTCTTGGTCAAGTTCGGCCCTTACATACACAGAATCCTCACTGTGTCAAGCAGTGCCTTGCAGAGCTTTAGTGTGTTCTGCTCTAGAGACTGTGAGAACAGGCCCTCCTCCAGCTACATTCAGTTGTGTTTGCAGCTTACAAGGAAAGAGGCCAACTGAACATGTCCTGCTGTGGGATCTTGACTGTTCTGGGCCAGCTGGGGTATGCCAGTGCTCCTCCACAAAAGTCAGAACAGATACATCAATACACCAGCTGCAATATGGACATTTGTTCATTTTCCTTACTACGTTTTCTGTGGTACAAGACACACTAGTGTTAAGACACTAACACCAAAAAAAAAGAAAAAAATTAAAAAGAATTAAAAAAAAAAAAGGATAAAATTGAGGGAATAGATTTTTATCAAAAAATCAATTGATGATTTGTTATACTTTGTTCAGTTATGTTTTGTTACACAGCCTTAGTGTATAAAGTATACCTTATCTTTATATATCTGTGTATATGCGTGCACACACACACACACACACATAAGGTACATCTTAATTTTCTATTTTCAGGGGAAGCATGTCTCATCTCTGTGAAAATATGGTAATTGCACGTTAATTTTAATCAGCTGATAATTATTTGGAGAAAAGGAGAATATGTTGTGATCTGAAATTCACTGAGAAATGGACAGAATGCCCACAGACTGATCACAGATGTGCCATGCCATAACACTATTTTCAGTCAAGTAGAAGACTTTTTATTACCCTTTTAGTATGACAAAGTGTTTAAAACTAATTGAACTTAAAAATATTTAATTTGCAAAAAAAGCTGGCAACAGGCAAAATCAGTCTCTGAAAACCCTGTGGAGCAAGAGGAGCATGGCACATTTAAAGCTAGAAAGCAAATAGTTTCTCTTTGAGCGCTCAGGAGTCTATGAGCTCCTGAAGACTGGGACAGCAACAATCCCTTGGTTTTAGCTTGACAGCCATATGGGCACAGTTGCTCCTGTGTCTGGGCACAAATTCTGCATCACTGGTCTCTGACTTGTGCCCTCTTCCTAAAAGCTAGCATTGCTCCCTTCCCATTTCTGGCAGAAATAGAAATCTTGCATCCTGGCTGCATAATTCAAGGTGTCCATGCCTCACCTGTAACGTTCTGATGTGGTCCCAGAGCTAAATTCTATGCTGGGGTACTTTACCAACAGCCTAGCTGACTTATCATCAACAAAAGGCATGAAGACAGCAGATTTAACCAGTTATTTGGAATCAGAAATGCTTGTAAGCACCACTTTGCAGCATTTCCTTAGCTCTAGTCGTCAGCTCTGCCTCCACATAGTGAAAAGCAGGATGGGCTTTTCAGTGTTATATGATCCGCAAAAGCCTCTCAGTGTGTGGAGTCCTCCTTCTCTGCTAGAAGCTTTGTTTGTTCGTCCTCACCAGTCTGTCCGACTAATCTGTCATTACATTTTAGGGAAGGATACAATGGAGAAAAAAGGAAGAGAAGCTTTACTGAGAACTCAAAGGAAGAACAAAGGAATTGGATTCTTCTGTGAGCAGCCAAGCAGTTCAGATCTTTCAGAGCCTCAACAGGAAATGCTGGGTGCTGAGCTCTTTTGAAAACGTAGCCATCATGCTCCAGAGCACAGTTTGTGGCAAATTCTAGGGTTGTGGACTGCCCAAGGAATAAGCACCTTACTTTTTTTAACTGACTGCATTAGGTCCGTAGACAAAAAATGGTCCCTTCTGTGCAAGGTGCCATACAAATGCAGTGTAAGAGTTGGTTTCTGCTATGAAGGGCTTGCAATCCAGATAGACAAGACAAGAACGAATAATATCAAGGTGAGAAAAGGCTTGTTTTGTATTGCAAACTTGAAAGATGGTGTTGCAATCCCTCATTGTTCCAACAGAAAGGTAGGCAAGCTACTATGAAACTATGTGCCCCACTCTTGAGTGACAAAGAAGGAACTCACGGGTCTGTATCTCATCCATCAGGGGACAAAAAGCCCATTTTTTGGTGGTCACCATGAGGTGGTGTAACTTTGAACCCATTTAAATCAGACCTCATTAAAAATGCAAATTAAGAACAAAACATCAAAACGTGGGCATGCTGCCAGCTCTGTTATAGAGATGTAAATTGCTAATCAGACAAGTACCATATTGAGCTTTTCTTTCCTTAAAAACAAAACCACAAACACAATGAGCTGAATAAATGAGCTCCTTGAAACAAGGAAGCAATCAGAGACTGAACTCTAAAAGTTTCTAATCTCAAGTTGCTGAGCAACTCCTGACCCTTGTACACAGCTGCAGTATGAGCACCAACTTGTTTTACGGCAAGTTTTTCTGCCAGCATCCATTAAACAAATGAGATGCTTTTGTGCCTGGCACAATGCATATCATATTATCTGACACTCCATGGATGCTGTATATACTGTACATTTTGCAAGCAACAACAAAAACTTTCACTTTTTCTTCAAAGAGAAGTACGCATATATTCAGTTTGGTGCTATCAAGGTGCTATGTGGCATTGCTTTTCTTTTCTTTTTAATTTCCTCCCTCCCACAGTGACAAGTAGCTATATTCAACCAAAGCTTTTTTTTCCAAGTAATAAAAGCCACAAAGAGTTAGCTCTATTTTCTGCATGAAGAGAAATCAAATACTAAACTATCCCTGGTGTATATTAAATGTAACCAATAAACAATCATTAGCTGCCATTGGAGCATAAAATTTGCAGAGCCCTAACGTATCATACTCTTTATGGGAGTTGGGTAGTTTGCTTCACAAGGCTACGCAGCCTCCTTGTCTCTGGAAGGCAACAGCCACAGGATCTCTATATACAGTACATGACACTGAAGGATGGAATGATGTTCTGCTTTACTACATCTGAGTGTCCACATTGCTTACTTCTCCACCAGAGAGCAGTGAATGTAAGAAAT